TGAAATTCTGCTTTGATATCCTCTCTTGCTACAGATGGAAACAAATTTTCAAATCAATACCATATTTCAATACCAAAGGAAGAATGAGAGACATCTTTTGAACTTACCAGAATCTTGAACCGCTTCTTCCATTTCAATCTCTACATCATTTTTTTCAACTAATATCTTTTGGAGCTGATGCTCTAACTCCTCAATCCGAGAACCGCTGTTGTCAATGGAGCTCCTTGCAGCATCTACGGACTCCAGTTTGGCATTCAAGTCTTTCTCCCTCCTCATGACATGAGACCTGTCAGTCTGAAATCTAACCTTTAAATGGACCTCATATCATAGTGGGTATCAACTAACATGGAAATAACATGAGACAAACTATTTAACCTGCAAAGTCTCAGTCAATGATTTGTAACGCTCCACTTCAGCAGTCAAATGTTGGAGTTGGTCATTTAGTAAAATATACAATCGGGACGAACGTACATACTTTTCATCCTTCAGATCATTCTTCAAGAACAGAGAGACAATGTTAAAAACTAACCATGGGGAAAAGAAGTAAACATGGAAGACTTATCCCAAAAACAGCTATTAAGTGAAGAAGATTACAAACCTCAAGATCTTGCAATTGATTTGACAAGGTTGCATTATCTTCCCAGGCATCTCGAAGCTCAAAAAGACGATCAGCTGCCAGTATCTGCATATTATTCATGACATTAGTTTCCAGCGTGAGTGAGAGAGAGAGAGACCAATCATACAACTATACCTTAGTTTCTTCAATAGAATCCTTTAATTCCCGGAATCCTATAGTCCTTTCTGCAGGTTTTTCTGGTGATAAATTTCCATTCACCACACCTGAAGTGGGGGCATGCATTGCAACTGCAACGTCCTTTTGCATCATAAGACTGACAAGTTTTCTTCTACATTCTTCGAGTTCAGCCATACTCTCATCTAGCTCATCTGTCACCGACAAACAAACATAGACGATCGGCAGATTAAAACTCAATTTAGGCAAGATGATCCATGGAAAAAGAATTTTTATCCTCTCGTCTAATTCAAATAAGACATATATTAAATCTAACAGTCTTCATGTCCTGCCATATCACATGAAACAAATATTCACACAATTACATTGCATTAAAGATTAAAAATATAGGGAAGAAATGCCTCAGAGACCTGAAAGGCGTTTGATCTCGGCTCGATCCATCAATTGACTGCTGACATAACTTTGAATCTCCTCGGCATATTCTATATGCTTCAAGTGGAGAATTTCAATGATTTCTTGTAGATTTTTAGCCTCCTCTTTCATCATATCGTCGATCTTTGACAATTGAATGATAGCATCTAAAAAGCCCGTGATCATATAACAATGCATTGTCACATGTCTGCTTCTACAATTGTCATTCAAGTAAAAATGAATTTCCTACATCTAAACATCAGACAATAACCTACTGAGTAAAAGGAATATCAATTCTGGAAGTCCATTAGAGCCAGCTGGCTCATCACTGCATTCCAACTATACTAAATAAAAAAATAAAATAAAAAATCATTCTGACCTTCTGATGATTGTTTCTCATTCCATGCAGAAATTATGTTCTCAGTTTTTTCCCTCTGAGTATAAAGAATATCCTCCAAGAATTTAAACAACTCCATCGTGGATGCATGACGTGAGGTGAGGGCTTCTTTTACATAGTTGATAATTTGTTCACCACGTCTGACTTCAATAGAATCCTTCTGTAGCAATCTACAAAGAAACATATCCTCCGCAGGACATGAAGGAATTGAACCTATAAAGTACCTCAAGTCAATGTACATGAAAAATAACTTCAATTCTACCTTGGCAGGAGACTGAGAGAGAGTAAAGACAACTTTTCAATAGGCAAGTATTTCTATGTACTTGCTATAACCCAAAAGTACCTTGAGAATGACCAGCTTGTCCTAAGTTTTGTAAAACCTCTCCACCTCCTCCAGCTTGTAGTCCAAGAAAAACTAAATCATCAACCAACTAATAGAGAGAGAAAGATCAAACGCATTGAAAAAACAGGCAGTTTACATGCGAAGAAGGAAAAGGTCAAAGGATATCGAAAGATCACCTGATTCCAGAGTTGGTTGATGACAATCAATGAGTCGTCATAAGAACTCTGCTTGACCTTCAATTGACTTATTTTTGCTTCAATATCTTGCAACTCGTGCTTTTGAGCGTCAGTCTGCTGGACGAGTTTTTGATTTTGGAAATGAAGGACAGCTGCATCAACCTGGAATGATGTTCAAAGATATTTAAAGAGCAAAACAAATCATTCTGTTCTCAAACTGGTTTTTCTAGCTCAAAATAATAAAAATATCTTGAGACATGTTTGATAACAATTTTTTTTTATTTTCCATTTTTTTAAAAATTGAGCTGATAGAAACTATTTTTAGTTTTTTACTCATGTTTTCTTTGTTTAGTTTTTCACTTTCTAAAACTCTTTTTGAAATCTTGGCCAAATTTAAAAAATGAAAAAATAGGTTTTTGAAAACCACTTTTTTTTAAGTTTTTAAAATGCTCCTATGATTTTGGAAGTAGAAAACCAAGAAACTGTTTAGTAAATAAGCATATCTTTTAAAAATAGAAAATTATAAACAAAAAGGTTATCACATAGGTCCTAAAATATTGAAATTCTATCTTTTCCCTATAACCGTGGGTATTTGAACCAATCTCCACATTTTATCAATCCCACAGAAAACCACCCGATGAAATGTGACCCTAAAACATCGGATTTTGCGAAGTTGTAAGATATTAATATCCTAGATAAAGATTGGAACCATCATGGCCTCGAGGACATGTGAGTTTTCGACTGGCACTTTGTACTATTAGGCCAGCATGCATCCTACTATGATTAATGCATGTTTAACAGTATCAGAATAGCAGTCACTTGGATGTTGACTCCATAGTACCGCAACAACATAACAATATGTATGTTTGATACGATCATACGAGATAAGATAAAAATAACAGAAGGGATTTTAACAAAAGCGACAGTAAGTAACATAGGGAGGTCAGCAGGCATCCGCAGGGTCAGGCAGCTGAATGAACCTAGCTTTATGCATAGGAATTCATGAAACAGTATATCTAAGCAACCAACCGCGATGAAAGACAGTGAATTAAATGAAGTAAAGCATATTAAATAGCTACATATTATAGGTACAAAAAAGAAAAAAAAAATCCACAAATCACTTAGTTCACAGCTCAAAGCTCATTCTCTGCAACAACCTTCTTCCAGTTGTAAAACAGAGCATAATGAACCACACTGATGCCGGAATTTTAGGTACTACAGGGACGCAGATATCCAATGGCTAAGGTAAGTACAGGCAAACTGTTTAAACAGACTACTTATCCAATTCCAAACGAACAAGAAATATATAAATTGACGATTCGGGGGGGTGGTGTCGAGGCTCACGCTATTATTGTTTGGTTGTGAAGTGGTGGAGTTGCGAGCCATGGCGGGCGTAACGGAGCTCAAATGAGGCCTCTTCTTATCAGGTTCGTCGGGGTCGGCGCTTTCCATTTACGACTGCGAGAATCGGAACGCCAATTCGAGGCATAAAATTGAATGCTTCTCCGAACCCTAATGACGTACCGGAGTTCTGGGGAGCAACCGGGGGAGCGGGAGTTCCCAAAAAGACCGGGAGGCACAGTTTTCTTGCGACGTCGTTTGGTACCCGCCGCTTCGTACCAGGCCGACACGTCGCCTTGGTGGTCTTGACTACTGCAAGCTGCAGCGGCAGTTTTTTCTTTTTTCCTTTTTTTTTTTTTTTACCGGTGCAATTGCAGTAAATTTATTTTGGTTGACATATTTATATTAAATGGTACTCAAAACAAAATTAAAAAATAACTTTAATTAAATGCAGTAAAACGCTATAGTACCTTTTTTATACAGCTAAGCTATGATACTTTTTCTATGTAATCAATCTAAAATAACTTATTGAAACAGTTGAAAGTTTACATTATATTGACTGAAACTAAAAATAATACAATTCATAACACTTTTGACTTTTAAAAGTTTTATTGTGTTTTTATTAACCAAAAATCATATCCGGGATTTTTTTTTTCATTTTTCGTGTATTTCATTAGAAATAACGCCGTTTAGAAATGGAAAAAAAATTAATAGTAACAATATTAGTTTCATTGGACATTAAGACACAATTTAAGTAAAGTTGTTCTACTTTGCAAGTAAACTGTATTTTTTAAAAATACTTCATTCAAAGTTACCTCTCACATTTTTGTTGAATAATTTTTGTATAACCAAGCATATAATTCTATCAGTAATATACTAATATTCATATCATTTTTTTTATAATTTCATCTACCATCCTTTGACTTTACAAAAATGAAAAAAAAAAACTGCTATATTTTGTGTTAAAAATAAAAAAAAATTAGGTTCTTTTATGCTCATAAATGTTTGATAAGTGAGAGAGATAAATGTAAAGATAGATAATTCTTTAAAAAGACAATGGTAGTGGAGTACTCATGACCTAAGTATTTTTGATAAAAAATTTCAATATATAAATCCACTGGATGAATAGTACCAACTTCGACGTAGGTTGCTATTCAAAGTTTTTTTGGTACTGTAGTTTTAAAATGGTTGAGTACTCATGACCGAAGTCCGTGTATGCACAACACAAATACTTATCGGCACTCTATATATTATTTTGAATTAATCAAACATCCATCCCCACGGTGGACCTTTCCGAGTCGATCCCCCACCATTCCCACCGACTTCTCACCTAATTCCCTAGTTCAAAAAAATTCCAAATAAGTTATTTATCTTGCTATTGATTTCTCTCCTGTCACCCCGACTAAATTATATACCATATCAACACAAAACTCCTGCCGCATGTACATGTATATTATATATACACGTGTAACACAATTAGTTAGGTTATGATTAACTTGTTTCTTTAGTTTCAAAAAATATGAGAATATGATGCCCCATTGAACTTTAAACTTAAGTTGAAAAAGATAATAAGTGTAACCATTAATCAAATACCCACCAACCACATATATATATATATATATATTGACAAACGCACGAAAAGTGTTTCTTTGTACAACTTGGATTACTTCTTGGCTCAAGTAATTTTACAAAGTAAGCAAAAAAAAAGTGTTGAATCACCACCTAAGCCTAATGGATAACAATTCTTTAATTAATTAATCACACACATCCAATTTAATCCAAACTAATTAACAAGTCCCTTATCCACTGTTCCGTCTTAATTCTCTCTATTCTTCTACCTTTCCATGCTCATATCTGTCAACTTTTGCCCCATTTGAATAAAGCTCCTCGAGACTCCATGCTTGTCCTTATCTTGTGATTCGAGGTCGTACGCTGATGATCTTGCTACGGCTTCTTTCTCCTCTTCTTCCTCCTCATTGGTCATCAATGAAAAGTACTCCGCCGCCTTAGGCGTTTCGTATACTTTAACCACAACCAAGTAGAACGTCAGAGTCAGAATGGTGAGTGCAATCAAGACCCAGCTGAACTGAATGTTGATTAGTGCCTTCGCTCTGTGAAGAGACGCGTCCCCAATGCATCGCACCACTTCGTGTCCATCTTCCAAGTGGATAAAACAACCTGAATTCAAAATATGAGTAAAGATAAGAGATATAATAGAAGTTTTATAATAAACATGGTTACTCCACGTAGAAAAAAGAATTTACCTTTAGGGATGAAAGAACGGGTCCAGAGGGCGAAGCCCATGAGCATAAGCCAGAGGCCTTGAAACAAGATGGTGAAGGACCTAACAAAGGCCACCAAGAAGCTGACGGGGAGAGCAATCCCGAGGAGAGTTGTGGCCAAGGAAAGGACCACCAGAAGTTGTAGAAGCAAGTGGTATTGGGCTTCTGGGCCCATGTGGTCGGCGGAGTGGAGGTGGAAGAGGAGAAGCTCCTGCCCGAAAGCCACGGCGCCAACCAACTGGGTCAGCTCAAAATAAGCCTTGGGACGGAGCCGATCCAGGAGAATGCAGAACGCAGCGAACACGAAGAAGGTGATGGAGATGTTGGAGTGCTCCAAGTTGTGGAGGTGGTACGAAGGGATGGTGCCGTCGG